TTTTTTTTTTCGGACAACAAAATGTGATTGGGAAAGATGATTAAACGAATGGAAATGCGAATGGCCTACTAAAAGCTTACCCACTGCTTGTAGCAATCAGCACTCTGAGTCAAACACCATAAAAAGATGATTGTTGCTTCCTGAGAAAGGGCAGGGATCCCTGCAAACACCAGCTATTTCTCAAATACCTTATTTAGAAAAGGAATCAAATACACACGATGTCACTGCAAATCCAACAAATTACCTTCTGCAGCTGCTTTCACAGTCACAGCCTGTATCTGTTGTGATACTTGTTTCATTGCTTTACTTCCAGGAGAACCCGCAAGAGCAACCTCTTTCAGAACTGGGTAAATCGCCTCAAATCTTTCCGTGGCCTATCACGAATATTTATTTAAGACATTTCGAAATATATAGAAATGAAACCCAGATTGACCATAAGAAACCATCACAATATTGTCAAAGTTGTGCAAACAACCCCTACCTTAACTCTTGCAGAAGTTGGAGGAAAAGTAGCATGCAACAGTAGCTCAAGTGCTGCAGGTGGAATCAGGCGCTCCCCCTTTCTAACAGCACCGTTGATTAAGATACCACGAGCTTTTGGTGCAGCCAGAATTCTGAGAATAAAGTTGCACAAATTCATTTCATTGAAGTAGATGCAAAAACCATCATTGAGCTAGAAAAGACATAATGTGATGCAAGTGTTTGAAGGTATCAAAGGGTTCGAACCTTTCCACAACCTGCAAAACCAAGTCCCTTGTCTGTGGATTAGACCCTGATTTTCCTCCAAGTATTGGTAACATAAGATGTGCCCATAAATACAACCCTAAAGCTAAATCTCCTTGAGAGGCCTACACACAAGGATTTATCTTCAGCTAATTCAAAGTGCAAATGGAATAAATTGAGGGCATCAGATGGTAATCTGGATACTGAAAGGCCCAGAAAGAAATGTTCCTACCTGAACGACCATCCATGCAAGAAGTGGAAGCTTATCCTGTCCTTGGTACTTAGCGTTTTCTCTCAAATTTGGCAATAACGTGACCAGTGCCTCTGGTTTCCTGCGTAATACAATTGCCAAACCTAAAAACATAGCAACCTGCAATAATTATAAGTCAGCAAAAGGTTACCAGTAAACCAGCCTAATAAAAAACTTTAAAACTACTGTGTCACCAAGTTTATCAATCACAAATCTACCACTATTAATCTCTCAATGCTTAGATCCCAAGGGAAAAGCAAAAAAAAAAAAAA